GAGGGAAGGGTTGGAGTGCTGTAGATCCAACGGACAAAGTCCTCCTGGGGCTGGTGTCGCTCCAAAACAGATTTGACCCACATACAGTGACATCATTGACATCCCTGGAAGCATTCCACCTCTACCTCTCCATCTAGCTAACAATGAATCAGTCGAAATCTTGCAAGTTGATTGGAAGCACGCCCCCGGCTGAATCAAAGCGTGAACGGAACTGGGACTGTAGCCAAAGACATGTCAAACACATCCCAATGGCCCAAACCAAAGGTAGTTGAACAACAAATGATTCCGTGATGTGATGCAAAGAATGTGGAGACGCCGCCCGGTATACCGTTGGGAATCATGGTCCGTGATTCGCACCAAACTTCGGCAACCCAAAAAGCAACTAGTATATATTATGTACTCTAGACTATATATAATATATGGTTCTTGCGCCACCAAGGGCTCCCAGCTCCGCTCCAGCATGCTCATTCGTTCCCCTCGCGCAGCTCCCAACGTGCGACTCGGTTGCAGCTGCGATTCCACATGAACCATTCCATCAGAGCCTTTGAACGGCTTGATCAGCTCATCGATCTCCGCGTCTCCGAGCCCCTCGAAAGAGGACATTCCGCTGTGGTCTTAACTTTTCTGGTGTGAAAGGATGCAAATGCGGGGGAACCGTAGACAGCCATACATCAGGGGATGATGCGACCTTTGCTGGACTTCAAGTAGTGGGAGTTGACACGAGGTGCCCTCATTGGGAACATTTGTTGTAGTTGACCAAATGAGTGAACGACCGTGGTAGTTCCCCAATTCTTGCAAGCACATTGAAGCAAATTGGTCACAGTCATGTCAGTCTTGTGAAAAGCGGGTGCCTGTCTCCAGCACACGTGCCCCGTCTCTCGGTCGATCCATCACTGATTGTTTGTCTCCCTTCAACATTGTAACATGAGAAAAACACCACAGTGCTTTATATAGGTATAATATACATGTCATATAGTTTCTTTCCCTTAGCAGCTGCTAAGGCAACTGTGGGGCCTCGTTTCGAAAGACACGTGCCGCACAAGGCACACGCACAAGACACACGCACACCCATAAGGCTGTTAGCATGTTCAAGATACGTAACAAACATTAACAAACCATGCCGGCTTCTTCATGCACCGCATTGCGCAGCTCGGCTTTCAACCGCCTCGTCTCTTGCAACATCATCCATCCCGGACTGAACTCTCTGCAGCTCTTGGAAGCCTGAAACCATGTGGCCGCAACTGTCAACCTTTAGAACAAGCTTTAGAACTATCAATCTTCAACCATCTTCCATCTTCAACCACCCCTTCCTGGAAATGTGTGGCCCTCTCACCCAGTCCCATTCTCTGACCATTCTGCCTGCGGCTGAAGTGATTGGAGGACGCCCTTGAGCTCCTGACTCTCGAGCCGTGGGACCTCAAGGCGGCCGTTTTTGGGGGCGGGCAAAAGGTGGAGGATGGCATCTTCAAATCATCCTGAAATCAGGTTTTAAGTGGATTTGTTTCATCTTCAAGCCACTTAAATCATCAAATCATCTCAAGCCACTTTAAGTGGATTTGTTTCAACCTTTCTCAAATCATCTCAAGCCATGCGTAGAGTAAAAAGAAAGCGGACGGTCCGTGACGTACGGGCGCGTCGCGGAGATTGAGATCCATCGTTTACAGGTAAGTTGTTGAGCAAGATAAAGACGTGAAACCACCCACCAGCAATATGTCTTAGCCATATCAATGGCTTGTCCACTACAATATTTGTTTTCCCTTCTCTCTTGCCAGTAGATTTGGGAGTTATGAATATGTCATTTCAAGTGCCATTGAAGGACCATTATCTGGACTATAGGTTCAGGGAGTATCAGAATGCGTCCTAAGCAGGAATCTGTTCAACAATTCAATACCCTAGTTATCATACTCTGGATGCAATGGGCCAGTTTGTTGAATCAAACAGGACCTGTCTGGGGAGCTCAAACGTTGCCAGTTGGATGCTTAACCTTCTTCTGTTTAACATAACCCCTCTGGAGTCATGAATTCCAAACTTCGCTGGCGCACCACGCAGCGTTGGAAGATGCTCAGCACTTGATCTGCCGCCATTGCAATGAAGCCAAACTTGCGAGATGTAGAGACAAATTGGTTTCGACTACCTGCTGACCAGAAGAAAGCTCAACACGCAAGACAAACATGTAAACTCCTGTGGGACACTCTTCGACACACCGATGGTGTAAAGTGTAAATAGGACTTGGTGTCAGGATTCAGGCTGAATCTTGCAGGGCCGCCTTTGCATCCAGCTTGAAACTCTGTTCGAGCAAAAATCGGAGTTCGGAAGCAAGACAGTGACCAGGAGGACATTGAACCGCCATAGTTTTGCCTAGGAGGGCAGCAAAAAATTTGGCACCCGAAGGAAGAACATAGAGTTCAAACACTCGAACTGGAGTTCAGAGACTCTCTGAGCAACTTCATTTGGGTGTGTATTAACATGCATTAACCCTAGGGCTCCAACTCTCTTTAACACAACAAAGTTGTTTACAGTTGTGTCAAGCACCTGCCTCTTGCTGAGACAACAACAATAAAAACTGTGCCAATGCTACAGCACCGTCAGTTCGACTTTTGGTTCTCTGTATAGGGATGTGTACGGTCTATAATTAATGTTGACCTATGATTAATAAAGGGATCCAAAAGAAAATTGGCAAAGTTCCGCCCTGATTACAGTAATAAGCCCCACCAAATAAAGTCAACATTATTTGTTTGCTCTTGGAGTGGTACCTCTCTGTGCTCTGGGGTCCTTTCTTTCGAATCCGGGATGGACTGGGCCAGCGAAGGCATAGGGGAAGTCATTGGGCCCAAGCATTGCATCGCTTGAAGAGGCGCGCCCCAAAACGGCTAGCTTCCAAGCTTCGGGCACCCCATTAGTCATTTGGAAGTTGAACCCAAGGCAGAAGTAGTGTTCCAATGGCCGAGCAAGACCTGATTTCATGTCCTCTCCCCCAATTGGCCGGTGTAAGCAAAAGTCGCATGTGTTCCAGATTTCTCTCACTTTGCCCACCTATTCGATTTATTCCCACGTGGTGGCCGGTCACTATCCCACGTGGTCACCTGCCTCGGTGCCAGGACCTCCGCTTCCTTGGGCCTCGCTGACCGGAGCGGCGGTCGGTTGATCCAAGAGCAGGTGGCCAAAATTACAACCCTCACACAGCCCTTGCACATCTATCATGGAATCATGCAATCTTCGCAATCTTTGGATGATCTGTCCGCCCTGTCACCGTCGCCCTGCGTCTGTCAGCGTGGCCGGTTTCAAGTCTCGGTGATGTCTTCCTTTTCGGGGATCCCTGCGGAGATGAGTCTCGGTCCACCCCCATGGAGCTCTTGCGTGGCGTCACCCCACGCTGCGAGAGGATCGCCTGGCGCGGGCTGTGGATGGAAGTCACGTGTGGCCACAGCGGCCAGTTGGGGGCTGGAAATGATCGTCGTTTTCCATACCAAATATGCGCAAAGTCTATGCGCAATTTCCGGAACTTCTATCCTCCTATGGGAAATGATCTTATTCAACTTCACGCCAAGACTTCTCCTGATAGTCCATCATTGCCACAGGTCGCAAGCCAACAAGGAGTTTGGTTTGTGGGCAAGGTGGCGGGCGGTGGCAAGGTGTTGCTGTGGACCAAAAGAACCAGTGTCAGTGAGACACACAAAATGCACACGCGCTTTCCCAAGGTTTACAGGGAAAAATAGTATATATATATATATATATATGGAGAGAGAGAGTTGGAGCGCTGTTTTCGAGGCATAAACGTGGAGGGATTTCATTTGGACCACGGACAACATGTATTTGCTAAATCAAAGGACATCAGGATTTGGTGAAAGTGTTATCGGATTGTCTTTGTATGGAAACGGTATGATCATCCGTTTTGTGCCCAGAACCTGAGCTTTGAGATCCACGTCCATCTCTTTTCTTGTCTAGTCCTCCGACAACAACGTCTTGATCATAGCATAATCATACAGCGTTTTCATTATAGATTTAGATCTTTCTTGCTGTTTTCATGCACCTTCTTTCACCTATTGCGGGGGGCCAACACCTACTGACTCTGCACACATCCCTTCCACCTCCCACATCCCGCCCGGTGGCGGCGCCTTGAGGGACCGTGCCGCGTCGGACTCCATGAGCTTGGTGTAGAGCTCGTCTCCTGGAGCACGGAATCGGGGTGGGCGATTCGCCCATTGCCTGTGAAGACCCATGGTATGGTTCGGTGGAAGGCGATGAGGGGCGATCCCGGCAATGTGTTTGGATCGTTTGGCGTGCTGAAGTGTCAACAATTTGGTCAGAGATCTCTTTGTGATCTGTCTTCCCTTTCTTTGGTCTTTCAAACAAACCCCAGCAAGGGGGAGGGGCCCGAGGGGTGGGGAAGCTTCCGTTGTCCTAATATGTATATATATATATAATATAGAGGCGCTTCCATTCTTTTCAAGGATTCCATCCAATGGGTCTGTACGCATCGTTCCACTCGTTGCACTCGTTCGCATCCGTCGATGTGGACACGGACGGACAGTCGGACAGCTGAGCAGTCGGTGTCGAAATCGAAATCAATCGGGGAACCCTCCGTAGAATGGGTAAGGGATCAAAATAAAAACAAATATAGAATCAAAAAACAATTCAACGGGGATCAATAAAAAATAAAAAGGCAATCAAAAAAAATATTCTAGCCCACTGAGGATGGTTGGGGTAGTAGTAGTAGTAGTAGCAGTAGCAGTAGCAGCAGCAGCAGGAGGAGTAGGAGTAGTAGTAGCAGCAACAGCAGCAGGAGGAGGAGTAGTAGTAGTAGTAGTGGTAGCAGTAGCAGTAGTCACGGCGTTCACACGAAGTTAGGCCCTACATGGCGTTGTCAGAGCGCTCAGAGCAGAGAAGTGTTTGGAATGGGTGTAGCAGCATCGGAAGGTGCCTGGATGGGAATCTCCTCAGGAAAAAGATGTGGTGGACCAGTCTATTTCTAATGGGTGCATTGCGGTCGCAGCCGTACAGGGTCTTTTTCACCAAGCTGGTGAACCATTTTTCGAGTAGGGCTAATCAATGACTGGACGGCTACCTTATCGCTGGGTACCTACTTTCTTCCCAGGGAGCTGCCTCTAGTAGAAAGCAATCAAGCCTCTATTTGCGCAAGCAGGGGACCAGGAGATCGACAGACGAGCGCCGTAGGAGAGCAAAAGACCAGCGGACCAGGAGACAGAAGGACTAGGATACCAGGGGACCAGCGGACCACAGGACCAGAGGACCAGGAGACCGGAGGACTACGGGACCAGTGGACTAAAGGACCAAGGGACCAGGGGACCAAAGGACCAGTGGACCAGAGGACCAAGGGACCAAAGGACCAAGGGACCACATTACCAGAGGACCCGCAGACCAAAAGGCCAGGAGAGCAGCAGAAGAGGCCTATCAAGGAATATTTTTTTTGATTCGCTTTTTATTTTTTTTTAATCCTGTTTTTTTTTTTAATGCTCTTTTTATTTTTTTTGATACCTATGCCCCGTAGAATACCCTGATCTCAAACTATACTCAAGACTTGGAAGGACGCATGCTGAGACATCCCAGTGAAAAAAGACCCCGACAACTCCTGAGTTGCTTGACCTCCAGGCTACCTTCACGTGTAAATTACAGCAGCCAGCATTGATGTCTCCCCCGTCTTACTCTATGGCTTGCGAGTGCCATAAACAGCTCGATCGAACCGAACTGATACAAACCTTTCGCCAATCCCTTCGCAACGCTTTCGCGGCTGCGTGTTTTGCTTTCGCCGACCCACTTCACTCAACAACAACCTCTTTCGCTAACAGCTAACCCTTTCGCTGAGTTTCTGCTACTTACATCTAAGAAAAGTATCGGCAAAGGGGAATCATTCCTAATCTGTAACCACTGCTTTCGCCACATCTTCGCGAACCTTTCTCCAACCTTTCGCCTGGTTATCAGGAGACTTTGGATAACATGCTTTGTACTGAAAACATCTGAAAACCTCTTTCGCCAACCCTTTAACAACAAAATCCTTTCATCAACAATTCAGAGCCTTTCTCCAAACCTTTCGCCAAGCTTTCCCCAACTGCAGTTTTCCTTTTGCAAAGATTCATAATCTGAAGTCCTACCTAAATTTTTTCATAGAGGTTTATGACGTTGCTCAAATGGCTTTGGCCCAGCTGTAAGCTGGCCCCTCTCTCTGATATAATTAGATGTGCCTCAAGTGTCCCTCTTCGCACCCTGCTGTCCGTCTCCACGATTCCGTCTCCCGCCTGCATGTGAATCGCCGGCGGAAAACCGTCGCAGCAGCTCCTCACGGCCACCCCTGAAGGCGCCCAAGCCGAGTTTCTCGGGGGCGCCGATGTGGCATGTTGTTGGCTCGATGTGTCGATGTGTCGCACTCTCGATGTGTCGATCTGAGGTACTTCCAGTGTTTTGGAGGTGTTGGGGTTCCCGCCAGGGGATCATCGGTCAGCAGGGGTGGCCGGTCCAGGCCGTCCAAAGATCACGACAATTGACCTACACCCTCAAGATCCCTCAAGTTTTGTAATGCAAGGTGTCCACTCATTCTACAGTAGCTGTCCACGATCCAGCAACATTTGTTTGACCAAAACATTGAATTGGCACAGATCAATACATTTTTCGGTCGGTACCTCTATCTGTTGACCCTGCTCCCGCATGAAGACTCCGAGTGGCACCAGCTGTTCCGCTCTTGCAATCCTGGCCAGTTCATCGGCGGTGCAAACATTTATTGTGACACATGTTGAGCACAGCATGTTCTGGATGTGTCACATATCAAAGTTTCGGACCCCATATCTGAATGTGTCACGCATGTTCTTGAACCACCTTCAAAGCTTCGGACCCCATATCAACCACTATCAACCCATCCCCTCAAACTGGGACATGCAAAACTGTGTCCTCGTCTGTGTCCTCGTGTGTGTCTCGGGGCACACAAAACTGGTCAACCGAGAACCCAGTTCGGTGTTTCTCCGCCTCTCAGCCAAGCGTTCTCTTGGAGCATCTTCCGTCCGGTCCTCCGGAACCGTCGCTGGTTGCGTGATCCTTTCGTCGGTCTTGGTGAGTGATCCTTTTGTCGTTGGAATGCGGGGAACTGCAACTGGATGTGTTTTTCAACCACACCCGCAAGAATAACCGTTAACAGATGTTAACAGTGGGCACAACTAAACGCTGGTCAGATTTTTGAGGGATCTTGGCACAACCTACCAGGACAAATCGGGAAAGTATGCCTCCTTGCGGACCATTCTTCCTCGAGTCGAGTGCCGGTCAGGGATTTCTAAACACAATAGCATTCATCAGAGCCAACATGAGCCAACACTGCGTGCCCTTTCTGTATGAAGGAGGGCTAAGCCACAATCATCTTCTGATGTAACCTGTTTGTTCTGTGTGATGGGGTCCTGCAGGCAAGTGTCTATGGCCCCTTTGCCTATCTGTCTTTATATATCACCAAATTCCTCCGAGAGGCTTCGCACTGCCTCGCGGCCATGAGCCGCAGCGCAAAACGTCGCTTTTTCGGCGACTCGGTGACTCCACCGTGGGCTCCACTTGGTTGCGCACGTCCTGCACGTGTTGCCTGCGTTGCCTCTTGACTTCCCTGCGCATGTTGCTGCCCGGGCACTGCTACAGCTTGCCACTCCCGCGGGGAGTCTGCGGCCAACTGGGCTCCACCAGCACACAAACTGCTGCCTTTGGCAACGCTGTGCAAACTCAGCTGCGATCAGTGGTTTCAACTCACTTGAAACCTCTGGTTCAACATGTGAGTCAGTGGGTTTCAAGCATCGCTGAACAATATCAAGCGTCGCTGAAACCACCACCCAGTCAGTGTTATGTACAAGAAAACCGTTTCCTTCTTGACCACAGCGCTGTGTATCACGCTGTCTTCCTTCGTGCCTGGCGGAGGCGGAGAACCGTCACAAGCGGAAACGTTCACAGTCCACGGCTCAAGCATTCCGGCATCTCTGCAAGCATCGCAGTTTTTGGAGCGGTTTGATTGGAACCACATGCTTGACATGATAGCATTGTCAAAGGAAACACTGTATCACCACGAAGTCAGTGCTGTGCCAGCTCTCTTTTCGTACAACCGAACCGAGCGGTGCACCTTGTACCAGTTGGCCGCCTGGACCCCACCAAGAGCACCTCGGAACACCAGGAACTCAAGAAGCCCATCTCCAAGCAGTGACCTTTACTGCTTAAAGGTGATGGCCATGAGGAAATGGACCGAAAGGTGATGAGAAACGCTTTTGGGTCATGTTTGTGTCCCTCCCATTTCTTTGGTGATGAGATGGCATGAGCAATCTTCCCTTGATCCCATTGGACTTGGCAAGCCAATACTCCAATCACTTATCATCTGCGAGCGTTGTAACAAAAAACATGGCAAGCTCTGCGAGGCATGGTGAAATACCCTTGCACTGGACCCCCGCCCTTTAAGGAATCCATGCATGGTGGAGTCGTTGAAGACGGGTCCCATGTTGGTCCCAAGGTCCCCACCTTGGTCGGTCCAATTTCAGGTCGGAGGACGGTCCAAATCAGGGGGCTTTTGCCGGTGAAGGGCCAGGGCTTTTGCTTGTTTTAGATATACAGTAGTTTAACACATCACAACCATCTTGGGGTTCAGGGCCAGTTCTTGTCTACGAACTCAAATGCGGTTTAACACGAATACGGTACAACCTAAATCCAGGGTCTCATGCAAAGCATCGGTCTCTTGCTCAATCTCTTCTTTTTGAGCTTCTATATTCCTCATAATGTTTACAAGCTGATGCTGGATTTTGACATGTATTATATAGATGATGGTACTTGTCTATATTGGCTATTGATTGCACACAAAGCCACATATCCAAAACAGTCCTTCTCCCAGTCCCTGCCATTTCTCCCTCCGCCGACCTGTGCCACCGCCCACCACGCTGCCAGCGGCCAGACCGGCGGAGGAGCCCAGCGCTGCACCCAAGGGGATTGAGAGCCTCGGTCACTGTGAACTGCAACACGTAGATCATGGAGCTTTGGTTGATATGGTGCACCCTTCAACTTCAATATCCCGGTTGTACAATGCCAGCGATGTGCAATGCCAGCGATGTGTTTTTGTGGTGCGTAAACATGTGTGAGTTCAGATGTAGAGAGGGATACAGTACCAATGGTTGATTCCACAAATCCACACTAACTCACCTGTGTGGTAAAAAGAACACATTGAACGTGAAAAAGGAGGGGGGGGTCTGAGGCCAAGGGTAGTCCACAATTCAATACAATAGAAGTCCAACCAATCTAGACTAGCAATACAATACAATACAATACAATATAGACTCCTCTGGGAACATAAGCTAGCACACACACACATATATATATAATTATATATATATATATATGTTCCATGCATATGTAAAACCAACCAAGCCGAGGAACACATCTGCAATAGGCACATGACACTCTGAATATGTTGCGTCGGTTCTGCAGTTGGAGAAACTGCAACTTCAGCACCCCTTTTCATGACAAACTCCCAAAAGTGTCAACACCCACTGACAAGTCCATTTGCCGCCGATGAACCCCAGGGTGAAGACTGCTGGCACCAATCCGACCAAAGCTCCAAGAGCACCTCCGGCCAATGTACCTGGCACATCCTCACAAATAACAAAGAAAAAGGAAGCAAAGTCAAACTACAGTATCTGCATCTACTTCCCAGCAAATGTCAGAAGTCGACAATACTTCACAAATTGAGCCACCACCAGTCAATCTTCTATCTTGGTTACAGTGTTCTCTAGATTGGCCGAGGCTACCAGCAACTTCCGCTTTGGATGACCGATCCGACATGCGATGCTCCTGTGGATGCTCCCGAGCCTTGCTTTTCAAGTAAAGTAGCTGATGTCTTTGTCAATCAATCCTGGTAACTCATGCTAAAGAATCAACGTGATGATACAGGCCTGTCACCTGAAAAAACGTTCCCCTCAAATCTGTCACTGAGACTCCCACACAAACAGTGTCCTCCACAAAATGGACACTGTGTCTTTTGCAACAATTAGGCCAGATTACATGAACAATCCTCACATCTGTAAGAAATCTGAACACTATACGTACAAAGATTACAAAGCTGAGATCCCAACTCCAAGTCAAGCACATCTTCCAATTTCCAATCCATCGCACAATCACCCCCCAAACCTTAATGCTCCCTTGATTATAGACATGTCCACTCCCTGCTCATCTACAAAACCAGTTGAACATAGTTGAACGGAATCGCTCAAATACCGCCCTTGTGCAGTTTTTCATGTTTTCTTCGGCAAATGGGACGCATCCAGGTACCTCCAAGTGGGCATCTGGCAACCACACCCCGTTCGCCGGTCGGGTAGCACCTGAGATAGCGCCTGTGGTGCTGCCGATGGCCGCGCCTGGCAGAGCGAGCGCGAAAAGCCAATTGGATCCGAATGAATTTCAGAAACACTGGAGGATCTTGTAAAAGAAACGATGCTGGATCCAATTAGACTCAGTAAGTCCAAATCCAACCGATCTGCAAGTGCCCACAGCCAAGACACGCGAAAGTCACCGATGCAGAAAGGAGGTGACTTTAACATGTAACCTATGGCGTGGGAACCCGATGTGACCTTGTACGATCTTAAAAACAAAAACATATATATATATATATTGCTTTCGTGTGTGTGTGTGTCTTTCTTTTTTCAACGGATTTGGATGGGTTCCTGATGGGATTTCTCAAATACTGAGAGAGATTTCGACAAATCTCAGTGATTTTCATGTGTCTCACCTTATCTTGATTTCCTGCACGACGAGAACCAACAAAAAATCCAAAAGGTTTGGGGTAACTTATAATTACAGTACCTCTCATACAGGGCCTTTACACTAAATAATTTCATCCATGAATAGTGCCAAGGTTATTTGCTGCTCTTTAAATTCTTTTATTTATGTTTCCAGAACTGCCAGCTTCGGCAAATTTAAAACAACTCTTGGGCACCTTCTCTCTACTCAGCGCATTGGACTGCGGGAGGTTTTCACTGCACGGCACTTCTGCTCCGTTGAACTGAAAAAAGCCTCAATCGACGCGACCACAAGGGACATCATGTGGTCTCCCATTGTGTCCCGAAGGCATTAGCAACAAGAAGCTACGAACGGAACAAAGGGCATTGCTACGAACGGAGAGAGCAAGGACGCTACGAACGGGGTGCTCTTGGCCTTTCTACGGCACGCGTCCATCACGTCCATCGCGGCACCAAACACGACCGGTCGGATTCTCACTGGAGCAACGCTGCGCCTGCAGCGCCGGAGAGCAACTTGCCGGGCGCCATGTGTGGACCTTCCGGAGTGTTTGCCTTCACCATCTTCATCTCCTGAGAGACATGAGGCAAAAGCGTGCAAAAGCAAGATCAGCGATTTTGGTAGGTGAGATGTCAAACAGAACTTGGGATCAAAGGAAGTGGTGAGGGATTGAACGCATTCTTAGCATTAGCTGAGTCATCAGAGCTGACCAGTTTAGAACACCCCTCGTCTATGTATTGAATTCTCGGAAGTTCGCGCTGTGCTGCACTCCCTTCGATCCAATGTTTGGGTAGACTCAACCATGTGGGAGTGACTCCACATGACTCCACGTGACTCCACTCAACAGGACCCAAAGCGCCAGGCCTCAATCTCAAAGCGTTCCTCCAACTGCAAGATGCGATCCTGCTGGGCCTGGCTGGAGAGACTGCGTTGTGAGGTCCAAGCGATGAGAGACTACATCGAGACCGCGCGACGGACCAAGTGGGTCTAGCGGTGAGCACCGAGCCGCTCTTCCGCGACGGATCGTGATACGACATGATCTAATACATGTTCGAAGGTCAAAGTCCGATCTGCGGACAATCGTTTACAAACAAAGGTCGTGCTACATGCAACATCTGATTCTTGTACCATCCACGGAATCATACCAGCAACCATACAGATCTAGAATTACATATTATATTATATAATATTATATCAAGAGTATAGAGTTAAATGTATTGTTATAGAATATTATGTAAATAGTATAGAGTTAAATGTATTATAACAT